AGTAAGTAAGTAAAGAGCTAAGAGAACACTATTGGATAGTGGCAAATTCAATCCCCATTCTTGAAACAAATGTTGGAATTTTGCTTATTGACAAAACCCCTAAACCCAAAGGATTCTCATCGCTGAATACAATTTTCTGATGAAAAAGTGGATTGACTTTCAATCGTTCAAGCACCTATTTACGAAAATCATAATACAAAAAAGAAACTTGAAAGAAAATATGTTTTCTATCTGCGCAAGTCATGAAAATGAATGAAATAACACAATTCGCAAAATATCAAATACAATCATTAAAAACATAATTTTCAATTGAGAAATTATAAAAAATAATAAATGTTAATAAATAATATAAGGCAGGAGTAGGTATAAATATCATTAAATCACATGTTAAATATATTATCGATATCAAACAATTTAAAAATAGGTTTATATAAAAAATATATACTTTTTTATATAATTTAATTTTTTTTCATTTTGTATTATTAAATATATAACATTAATTTCAGAAAGAAATTATAAAGATAGCGAAGATACAGCTAAGAAACCAAAATATAGTTACACTTATAACAAATCTGAAAGGTTTTGGTAAATATTAGAACATCTTTAACAAATTAACTTTAACAAGAACAGATAGTTGCATTTGTTAATTATTTTAATATAAAATTTCCTTAAACAGAGTTTAATTGAAAAGTTTTTCCAGTTATTCATTTTATAAAAGCACTTTCTCTCAAAACCTCAATTGCACTGTAAACAAACAAAAGCTGTTTTACATACAAAAAATGGTTTCATTGCATAAATCAACTTATGCCTGTGTGAACGCTCAGCGCATTTATCTCATTAAGAATGTAACAATAAATATATTTAGTTACAGCATGGACTTTGCAATAAGGACATTACTGATAATAACACACAATTACTGAATAAGTACAGTTTTTTAGTCACTTAGGTCTGTATTCACATAATTTTAACTGATTCTTTGTCCGATTAATAAGTTTTTCTCTTACTTCGAAATATGATTTCGATCGATTGCAAATTGAAATATACAATACTTTAGGAAAGTTTCATTAGCAATTCTAAATAATGGCTTAATAATTATTTCATTCTATATTTTATTCAAATATATATATAAATTTAGAGGATTTCGAATAGCAAAGAAAGAGAGGACAAATACATAAATTTAGTTAATTTATTGAAATTTCGCTGACCATACAACGCTGTTTCGAGTATTGTCTAGTAGTCTTCATAAGTGGTCTTAAGAATTATTCGAATTTATTTTTAATTAATTTATAGTTCGTATATAATTTGTTTGGACTGCAGTGCCTAGAAGCGATGACTAATCGTGTTTATCGACAAATAGCCAAGGCTGCACAAACTTTCCGTGCTCAAGTTCCAAGGTTTTTGTCACTTTCTTATTTAATTAGTGACACTAAACACTAAAAATAGCTTCTTTATAATTATAAGAAAGCGTAGCTTTATTGGCAAAACTAATTAAACTTTATATATGTATATAAATAAATTTATTCATGATTCTGTGAATTCATTCCAATTGATATTAAATTAATCGGTATTAATGTAGTCATTATTTCCTTGAACTATCTTTATTCAATTAATTCAAATCACACCCATTAAACAGAGAATTATTCATAAAATGCATTTTTAACAGTGTTCTAGTACTCAATATTTATTGGAACAGTTTTCCACCGAATATTTCATCTATTGTTTCTGAAAAGTGTTCTATGAATTGTTTCTGAAAAGTGTTCTATGTTTGGAGAATTAACTTCATGTGAAATTTTATTATATTCAACTGCATCGCGTAAATAGAGGATCTTGAAGAGTAGGTTTACTTTTTTGTTTTGATTTCTTTTACATTTTTCTGGTATTTTTATTGTATTTGAATATGGTCTAGTTATTCTTAAATATAAATGACTTTTGTTATTACGAAAAATAATTATTAAAGCGAAGAGACGAGTTCTATAATTTCATGCTAATCTGTTTACACTGTGCACTTAAATCTAAAGGAACGTTGTCTCTCTGAATTTAAATTCAGTAGAAAAGAAGTACGAAAGCAATAAAATTGTAGAGTATCTGATGAAATATGAAACATAGTTATTGTTAGTGGTTTAGCATATTATTGGAATAATATTAAAATGTTAAAACAAACGGAATTAATTAATCTTAAATTTTTAAAAGGTTATTTAAAATCATAAATAAATATAATTTTATACCATATTAACACTAAAATTTTTATTATTTAATTTCACACACTAAAATTATATTCTATTGGTGGTTAAAATTTTTTGATATTACCCGAAGCGATTATACTCTTCACTGGTTCTGTTTCCTTAAGATTCATTTGATTGGTTTTTAATTAAAAATCACATCACTTTTAAATCAATAATATATATATATATTTTTTTAATCTTGTTAATCTATCATCACGTTGGTCATATTATATATATTAATTTAACAGAAATACACTTTTTCCAACTGCATATATTACAATTAAATATTAATATTATTATTTTTCCGAAGCGTCATATGTTGCAAAAACCGTCCGATTTAAAATTTATCATAAAAGAATAATACCAGGGCAAACTTGAATAGCTACTCCAAAAGTTTGCAGACGTATTATTGCATCCCTTTTCCTTCGCTACTTTTTCAAAATATACAGTCATGCATACACACTTCATCAAATGAAAAGCCAAACGTTGAATAACGGCACAACCCAGGCGCAACCACAAAGAACTGTTTATGAAACACCCACTTTCAGTAAATACTTGCAATGAGATTTTTGTCTTTTGATTCGTTGATTTTAAATCAAAATGTTTAACAATGCCTACATGTAAGCCATCACGGAATCCCCAATAAGAGTTCAGCAGTTCAATTTATCACTCCCCCCATATATAGTTCAGAGGTTACAATTTATATACATCAAAATTTCATCAGAAATTATTATAGGGAGGTGATTCCATTGCTGCGTACAATGAAAACATTAAATAGGGGACAATTTTTTATTTATGGCTTTACTAATCAACATACACTGTCATAGAGAGGATTGCTAGAACGATGAGGCACGAATATGCATTGAAAAAAATAAGTATGTACTTTACCTTATAAAGCATAAATTGTGAATTATGTGAAAAATTATTGATAAAACTTTCAACATTATTTATAAAAATAACTGTCATTTATTGCTTATTTTGTACTGTATATGTATTGACCTATTAAATTGAATTCATATCAATTATCAAGTAAAACTCTTCACTCTCACTGCACAGGCACTCAATATCGAAGTTAGTCCATATACTAGTATACTACATATTTTAAAATAAGCAAACGTCAATCTGTTAGCTAACAGCACCAACAAGACCAACAAACGGAAAACCACCAAACGAGCAAAAATTCCAGTAAACAAGAACAAAAAATTGTAAAGTACCGTTATATTTAAACAGTTCTGAATAAGACTTCCATAAAAACATTTCTTGAAATCTATAGATTTTACTTTGCTTTTTGATATATTGTATATATATACTACATATATCGTATTATATTGGTATTATATCTCATATATCTTATTAGTCGTATATGTTTTTATACATATACTTATTTAGAGATAAATAAAAACTTTTGCTCTTTATCAAGCCCATAGCCAGAAATTGAATTCAAGTATAGAAATAGGTATATAGGTTTTTTCAGATAACTTAAATAACTTGCAAAACTCCTCTTTAAATATAACGAAATAGCTAAAAATCAAATTTCTAGCTTACATCACTGAAGACTGGTAAAACAAGATAAACACTGAAACAATTTACAAAAGAACCACCAGGAGCGAGCAAAAATACGAATGAACAAAAGTTCCAGGTATTAACTACACTGACGGACAAGGCAAGAAAAACAGACAACGCAATGTGCTTAAGAAACGCTCTGTAAACGCGTATTCAATGTTAATGAAGTAAGAAATAACAAGGGTGCAATCCTCACGCCAGTACCGACGAATGAACGAAGAAAAAAATTCCTATGTCAGTATCGGCATTTAAACGACGTAACGTCTCTTTATATTTTTCAAATTTTTATTATTTTAAAATTTTCAATCAGCTGGAGTAATAATTTAAGCCTATTGTCGAAAAATAAAAATTTATGTATTACTTTTAACATCAAAAACACTTGTATGGATTACCATCACTTTGAACAATATTGGAAATTAAATTTTGTAATACAAAGTTGGAATCAGCAATAAGTAACTGTAACCAGTTATATCAATTTTTAAATATTTTTTATCTCTGAAGAAAACTTCACCAAAATCGACCAAAAAAACAAAATGGCAACCTAGATAAATAAAGCTAAGAAAGGTTTGAATAAAGACATGATGAAAACTGTCCCAAGTCTCAGCGTAATAGATTCTTCATGTTCCTCTTCGTTGTTAATCAATAAATGAAATTATAGATGAAAACACATATTTTACAGTATTTTATTAATACTGATAGGTTATAATTGTGACTGGCATTAGCAAATGTGCATAAAGAAGAATTAAGTGTATGAAAGGAAAAAGTGTAGAACTCCTGACAGGGTTAAGCGATTGAAGCGTTACCAACTGCACACAGGTATATCTGTCAAACTGATATTGTACACTACAAGAAATTCGTACGAATGACAGCTGTTTACATTGTTTACAAGCTACCACAAGCATTTGCATCTAAGTTTTATAGAACAAAATTTATTCGAAATGGAATTCAAACGTAATAGTGTGATTCCATTATATTTGGCTACAAAAACACAACCCGCTATTGTTCGTGAGCTCAAATACCTCAAAGTGAATAAAATGTTTGTATATCGTACCATAAATCGTCAAAATAGTACAGACAACGGCGCCAAACTCTATAGTGGGGGACAAAAAAAATAGCAACATTACTTGAAATGGTTCTAAAAGCTCGACTTAAGAGAAATCGACGTTGCAGTGGTAATCATATGGCCAAAGAACTGAAAACATCCCAGCGAAACATCTGAAGCATATTCCAAAATGAGCTCCAGGTAAAGCCTTACAAGTTCTAAAAGGCACAATATCTTACATCCAAGCAACAAAAAGTTAGACTCGCAAGAGCAAATGAGATGGTACGCTTGGACAAACATGGCGAATTTCCAAACATTGTGTTCTCTGATGAAAAAAAAATTCCCCATTGAGCAGCACATAAACTCGCAAAATGATCGTGTTTAATTAACTGAACGTACTACCGAAAATTTGAGACTACGAATGGCCGCCTGAAGTAATTCCCCATCTCAAGTGATGGTATGAGCAGCTGTGACCGCCAATGGATACTCTGCAATTGTTTTTAAACGAGCCTTGTGACAAACTCAATGCGACTCATTATCGGGAAAACGGTTTGGAAATTGCTTTAGAGCCGGAGGCACGCAAACATTTTGGACGTAGATCATGGACATTCCAATAAGACTCGGAACCGGTCTCGGTCTCATGAAGCTCATGTGAACCAAGAATGGTTAAAAAACCATATTCCACACTTCATTTCGTTTCCACAATGACCTTTGAATTCGCCAGATGTAAATGCGATAGACTATTCCATCTGAATCATTTTC